ATAATTTTATGTTATAAATATTTAAATGTTATAAAAATAATTTTTTTAATTAAAATATCAAAATCGATTATAAAAAAATTAAAAATTTAATTTATTTAATAAATTTAATATCATCATCCTCTTCTTCATATTGTTTAAAAATTAAATTATTAAACTTTTTTAAAAATTTCATAAAAATTACGAAAGGGTCAGTCTTCTTATATCTATAACAGGAACAGAAAAAAGAGAGATGAGTTTATAATAATTCTAATGTTGTATCCTTCTATTTCGTATAAGAGATAGTTTGGCTTTTCCCAACACACTCTCGATTAGTTGAGTATAGCATTTGGTCTCTGGGTCAATAAAAAACTTCGAATGATTCATTGTATAGTATTCTTTGAAGTTTTCATTGACCCTGCCATAAGCTCCTAACAGTCAGTATGAATGGTTGAGTGGGAGTGTATACACTCTTTTAAAATAAGGATAAATGTTTCTGCATCCCTCTTGTTTACAACCTGCATGTAAACATCACGAGTTTTATCATCAATAAACCCGAACACCCAAGGGCCTTGAACTCTGTCATTATAATTATTTCTGTTGTTGAGATTTGAATTTAATCCTAAGAAGTCTTTGAAGAGAAGTTTTCCTACATTATTCTTTCGATGACCACCAAATAATGATTCATCTACTCGAATAACATTCCCCTCACCCCCAATTGTTTAAATATAATAACCCAATAAGTTACTTCTCTAACATAATTAGTTTAGCTAAAATTGTCTCATTTCCTATTATTTCTGAATTCTTTTTAATCTCAAGATGAGGTTGATCTTAAAATAACAAGAGATGAGCTTTATTATCTTTTGAATTGGTATTGCAATCCATCTTTTACCCTTCTTTTCATAAGAAAAAAATGTATTTTTAAAGATAGACCACTCTTTATTGCATGGTCAGCAACAGAGGAGGAAGCTGTCACAGTACTTCTTTCTTCTCGTCTTTAAAACTGAGTGTTCTTTGCAATATATGCTTCGCCATTCGTCTTTGGGTAGTAGCATACCCTAATCTACTATTTTAGCCATAAAAGCACTATTATCATTTAAAATTACCATTAATTCTTCGAAATTCATGGATTTAAAAAATGTGAAATTTTTATAAAAATTTTTCATGTTATATATTTATTTAAAATTACTTTATAAGAATATTCAATCCTTTATTTTTAAAACAAAATTTTTTCAACTACCTAAAAAAATTAATAATTTTTGAAACTTTTATTTAATTAATTTTTTTAATAAAAATTACTCAGTTTTAAATTATGGCACGAGCCTCAAATCAAGAACTTTTGGTATTCCTCCTCATGGTGCCCTAAACTGTGTTTAGATCCAAATCGAAGAAATCCCGTTTTAATATAAAATAAAAATTAATAAAAAATTATTTGTTAATAATAGTAATTGATTATTTAAATTTAATTTTAAATTTTCTATATCTTTAATTCAACTTATTTAAGTGTAAAATATTATATTATTCATTGAAATTTTTATTTTTATTAGTTTTGATATTGTTGATTTTAATAAGTTAGAGGATTTTCCTTTATTAAATATATCAATTTATATATTTTTAAACTCAATAGTTAAATTAAATATATCAATTCAAACTACTTTTTTGTTGTTTGTGTCATTTTTTTGAATGTTTAAGTGGTTTAAAATTTTTTAACTAAAGATTTTTAATAAAAAATTTTTCTATCCCTTTTAATGAAAGAAATATTGATAAAGATTTTATACAATTCATATCTAATGATAAATAATGTATTTTGTTCTAATTATAGCCAAAAGGGTGGTGTTAATTCTAATGATCTAAAAAGATTATTAGATGATTCAAAGGCCTATGGTTTTAATTTATCTTTTAAAAAGTCTAATTGCTTTGATGGGATAGAAGAAGTATCTAGATCCTTAACTTTAATTGATTTACCTAACAATTCACATGGTTTTAATCAGAATAAACAACAACCTTGTGCTACTAATAGGAATAATCAATCTTTAAATAATTTAAATATTAGAAAGAAATTAAGAGTAAACAAATTTTCTAGTAATCCATCTGAAAATTTAAACGATTCAAAAGTTTCATTAACTGAGTCCAGTAATGGTCTAATATCATCTTCATATCCAGAGATAAAAGGAAGCAAAGCCCGAGTAAAATCTAATAAAAAAAGTGAAAGAGAGACATCATTAATATTAACGGTTTTCATTTGTCTATCACAGAAGATAATTATCCAGGTACTTTATTAAAACGATTACATGAAAGTGAATTAAATGATACAAAGGATATTTTAAATTAACTTATTCTTTATTATTGAAATAAACATATGTTTTATTATTTTTTATTTTTTCCAAATATTGAAAGTAAACATTTATATCAGTTAAAAAATTTTATTGAAAAATCAATTATTAAATTAAAATGATCAACTTCTTTTCTAAATATTATTATGTTTAGAACAAAGTTGTAATATACAGTTTTATGTTATAAAACATTTAATTTTTATAAAAGTTTAAAAACAATCTAAATACATCATTTCAAATATAATAAATAAGTTAATATAATATAAAAGATAAATCATATTTAGCTATAAAAAATGTTATTACTAAATTGTTGCTCTTTTTTAAATTGTTTTTGAAATATTATTTTATACTTAGTGATTGTCTATTTAAAATTAGTTCTATTAAAAATTTTAAAAAACATTACATTTTAAATTATTGTAAAAAGCTAATTTGATTGTGAGTGTTGACTAAAACATTTAAATAGTTTTAAATTTAAGAAAGGTGTTTTAAAAATTTTATAATAATAATTTATAAATTATTTAGCACTAATGAAGAATAGAAAGAAATCT